CGAGTATGGAGGTACGCCAAGGCCGGTGTTTCAGATGGGGTGTGCTTTGACGGTGGCAAGATGGTTTGGCAAATTCCTGGAGATACCTTATTCGATCGAGTAGCTGGTTTCTAGTCTCGGTTCTGTTGTTAATATAAGTACTTTCTATCGTTTCGTTAAAATATATATATATATATATATATATTTGTTCTTTTAATTATTTGGAGGTACAATAGCCAAAAATACAATCCGAAAAACTAATTTAAAAAATGTGGTCCATACCACCTTAGAGCATCTCCAATATGAAATGTAGTTGTAAGTAAATTACACTTTATATTAACAAATTTCGCAATGTCTCCGCTTTTAATCTTCCAGTGCACAATGTCACCTACAAATGTAATGATGGGATGGACATAATTAATGTATACAATGTAGAGAATACAATAAATCTATAGAGCCATCGGATGACTCCCTTATTATCATTTTTATTTGGTTTATCTACATTCTCATTCACATTCTAGCCAACCAATTGAGTGATGAGAGAGAAATATTATTATCATTTTTAAAATATCTAATTATCTAATTTATTTGCTTTCTTATTTATAATTTTTTTTATTTTTTCTAAGTGGACAATATTATGTTTGATCACATTGCGCACTGGAGATAAATTTTTAGATTTTAAGTTGTAAACTTAACGATTATTTAATGTGGCTCACAATCCATCTAGATAATGACATTTGTCAAAGTTTATGTGATAACAACATTTGTCAATGTTGTAGGTGACTTAATTTTGCCATGTGTCAATTAAATAAAGGTAATGTGAATCCACATCATATGGATGTTGAGTCCACAACATTTAAAATTTTAAGTGTTTCTCAATGGAGAAAATTACCTACTGTACTATTCCTTATAAAAATAATAGCAAAAATACGATTACTAAATATTTTTATCAATATTACGTACATGTCAAACAATTATAATTAATTAAGGAATGCAGGTAGTTATTTTAGGCCATCATTAACCGTTAATCGGGTCATTATATTTAATTAATGATATACACTCAATAAATCTCCTGCATGATTTTCGGATAACGTTCAATAACCAACTTATGCACTCAAAAAAAGAAAAGAAATAATCACTTCTCTCTCCATATATCGGTTTTAGTGTGTAGAGTAAATCTCTCACCAAAAAAAATTATTCTCTCATCTCTCATCTCCCATCTCTCCGAAAAAAAATCCATCTCTGCAAAATAATCAATAATGGCAAAGCGATCCAAAATTGAGGCAAACAATGAAGAAGAAGCAAGGATTACTCGCTCCAGCTCGTCACAAAACTCAATTTCAACATCCCGTGCGCAAGGTTGTTAGAAAAAAGC